CTCACACTACCTTGACTACGTAGCAAAAGCAACACATCCCACTGGTAGTCTCTTTAAAAAACTCCAGTTCTTTGTGGTATTTACTGATACCAGAAACTATTTTGAACACAATTCAATTGAAAGCATTCAAGTACCATGGGCCCAACGGCTAAAATGGCACTCAAAACTTTTTCATTTTTATTAGTCAAATACTGTATATATTTCTATTCATTCATTACTTTAATGAATTATGGGTTTCCTTTCTGAACACTTATTTAATTATTCCCATAAATAAAAGAGAACTGAAAAGAAGCAAGAACAAGTCTGACCCCACTACCATACACAGGCTAGCCCCAAAACTAGGTGTGGTGGTGCACACCTATAATCCCAGCACCAGGGAGGCTGAGACTCCAAACTGCATAGAAAGAGCCTGTATCAAATAAATAATAATTTTAAAAAAGAAATGATTGGAAAAAAAAGGTTGAAAGGAAAGGGAATCAGAAAAATAAAATATATTATGCACACATACAAATTCTCAATGATAAATGTCTTCATTACTTATGGCAAACAAGTATTAATATAATTTTTTTTTAAAGTTACTCCCTAAGGACCAGGTTTTGGGGTACGTAGTAAGGAAGGAGCAACACAGTATGTCCAAGATCAGCCTGAACTGTATAGCAAGAGTGTCTGAAAAAAAAAAATTCCCAAAGCAAAAATATAGCTCAATGGCACAGCTCTTGGCCTTGAAAGTGCTGGTCCTCAGTTTGATTTCCAGTTCCAAAAAAAAAAGTTAGCTCCTAAAAATTCTATTGTGAGGCATGTAATCTCAGCACTTGGGAGGCTGAGGTAGGAGGATCACACAGAATGAAACCCTATCTCAAAGAAAACCTATCATTTCTTCCTCATTTAACTATTTCATTCATTTGTAACTGATCTTTGACTACTTCATATACTTAAAAAAAAAAAAAAATGAATCACTTCAAGGTGATTTCAATGGAAAACATCTTTCACCTCAAGAAGTTCTGAGCCAAAGAATAAAGCCCAAACATTTCTGCAAGACATAGCCTTTCTTGGACTCAGCTCCTCTTCCTCTGTAATATCAATCTCCTGCTTCTAAATGGATCCCATCCTACTCTCTACACTAAAAGCCCTAATGGACGATCTAGAATTACGCTTAAAATGCATTTCTTTACATACCTAATAGGCTTCTACATATCCTTAATTTTCTTCTTTTAATTTCACTATTTCCATTTTCTTTGTTTTGTTTTGTTTATTTTGTTTTTTCTGGGAGTCCTTTTCTGACCAACCATAGAATACCTCAATTTCTTCTTTGTATCTCCACCCTAAAGCCTCTCTAGCTGTAAATCTACAGTACCCACCTTAAGTAGTTATACTCGCATAAGTAAATGCTCAATGAATTTTAATTCCTTATTACTACACCCCACAAGTTGCAATTATCTGTACAATCTTCCTTGGTGGACTATGAGATACAAACAGAAGCCCACTTATGTGTTACTTTACCAATCTCAATGTTACACTCAACAGTGAGAAACGCTAAATTCATGATCAATTTCTCAACCCCAGAACAAAGTAGTTTTCTTTGACACTGCAGATACTTCATATTAACAGAAAATGGACAGAAGCCGGGCATTCCGGCGCGCGCCTGTGACTTCAGCCCCCGGGTGGCTGAAGGAGAGGCACAAGCTGGAGCCCGACCTGGGCATCTCAGCGAGAATCTGAAGTGACATAAAACGGCTCAAAACACAGCCTCGAACGCACACTTCCTCTTCGACTGCAGTTACATTTAGGGAACAATCGGCGGCCTTGAACAAACTTGGTCGTCTGGCTTCTCCCAGCCTCCCAGGGCGAGAGCGGTGAACGCTCTATGGTCAACGCCGCACCATCTCATATACTAGAAACTTTATAACCTACAACTTTTTTTAATCTTTAAA